TAATTGTGACTTTTGTCTCCTAAATTACATTTCACTCCCCTGCCAACTTCGTTTTTAAATCTCAAATATTAGTTCTTCCATAAATATTTTAATATTATGTCAAGTATAAACATTAAACTTTACACATCTAAGGAAATTATTCAATATTAAGGAATTTATCAGTGTTCCTATTTCCTTAGTTATTTCAGAACAGTTGGAATCAAAATTTTAATAAGGTCCGTACATTGCAGTTGGTTGGTATGCCCCTTAAATTTTTTTCATTCCATTGGTTCTCTCCAATTTCTTTTTTCCCTTGTCTATTACAGTTTTATTTGTTGAAGAAACTAGGTCATTTGTCATCGAGTTTGCCAGAGTCTGGATTTTGCCGATTGTACCCTTGTGTCAATTAATATGTTCCTCTACCTCGTATTTCCTATAAACTGGTAGCCATAGCTTTAGAGGCTTGATGATATTCAGGGTGTTCTGTTTGGGGGTGGGAGAGCAAGAACACTTGATAGACAGTGGTATGTACCTCCAGTAGAAGGCATGAAGTATCTGGATATCTTTTTGTGATTTTAGCAGCCATAGTAAGCATTGTCTACATTCATTAAGTCATTAGGGTTTGCAGAGTTGTAATATATTAATATATTTAATTCTTTCTTCATTTATTAGTTGATTTATTTATTAGAAAATATTTCCATAAAAAGAAGCTCTCATCACATAATTTGGTTACCTATAGGAAAGGCAGGCTAAATACTTGATTTATTTATTTATTTTTGCTTTATTTACCTATCTTAAAAATTAGTTTCAGAGCATCCTCCAAAGTAACCAATAAAGGGTTTTTTTTAATTTGTTTTTAAATATATATCATAAACTAATGGGTTGCAACTTGCTTGACATTTTTCAATATGATGAATCTTGTTTTCTCCCTTAGGTTACCATAGAAATGAATGAGCCAGTTCAGCTAACTTTTGCACTGAGGTACCTGAACTTCTTCACAAAAGCCACTCCACTCTCTCCTACAGTAACACTCAGTATGTCTGCAGATGTACCCCTTGGTAAGATAAATTTGTTGAATCTTGTTTTGTAGGTAGTATATGTGGTACTTCTCATTAATGAACTATGTTTTTGTCTTCTTTCAGTTGTAGAGTATAAAATTGCTGATATGGGACATTTAAAGTACTACTTGGCTCCCAAGATTGAAGATGAAGATGCATCTTAGGCATTCTTAAAAGATAAGAAAATAAAACTAAGCTCTTGGAGAACTGCTTCTGAGATGCCACCATGTACTTAAGTGTCTTCTGTCACCAAATTTGTACCTCTGAGTACATATGTAGATAATGTTTTCTGTATATAACCTATTTTTTTCTCCATTCTCTACAGTTTTTTAAAGAATAAAGTCCAAAGTCAAATCTGGTCTTGTTAACCTAGAAAGACTTCTGCCTTACCTAGAAATACTCCTTGTGATTTTTATAACAAAAGGGTTGTGACTCTAAATGCAGTTTTAAGAATTGTTTTCAATTTAAATAAAAGTTATTTGAATTTTAAACATCACAGGACAGTGCCTTCATTTAGACAACGACTGTTGCAAGTATCCTAGGGAATTCACAGCTAAAGCTACCCTGGAATGTAAATGTGTTTATTTTTTTCAGTCTAGAGCAGCCTGACATAAATATGTTAGACATAATAATTAAAAGTATTCCAAATACAGTAGGTGATGAGGTATTTTGGGGGATTCATTTGCCAAACTTATTTTGGTATTCTAATTTGAGGTCAAGAAATGAACAGAGGAGAGTAGAACAAATCGTTATGTATTTCATTATTCTGTCATGTTTGTTAGCAAAAACTAACCCTTTTCAGCAGCTTAATGTACTCAAAGTTGTGTGGGTTTTATGACTAGCATTGTTACAGGGCAGTGTTTCTTTAGCCTAGGGAACCTTTTACAAGAACCTTGGAAGTTTTAGTAGATCTGATAGGGCCCAAGGAGTATGTTAATGCAAAAATAACTTCTCCAGTATAAGTAGCCTTGTTTGAGGCATGGATGTTGGATTCAACCAAGAAAGTGCAAGGCCCAGCAGTTGTGAAATAGACTGTTTAAAACAGGGACACAAACTGGCATGCTACATACTGAGAATTACTTTATTATAGTCCTTTTTCCCAGTGTATTTTGTGTTTGGTGGATTAAATGATTTTGTTGTACCTGGACTGAGTTCTAGTTACTGGACTTGAGAACTCCCTGCATCCAGCAGGTAACTTATTCATTACCTTGTGTGTGCCTGGGGGAAGGAGACTGGCTGCAAAGGGGCCTGATGGAACTTTTGGGGGGTGATAAAAATAGACTATGGTGATGGTTCCAAGACTGTATGCATTTGTCACATCTCATCCAGTTGTACTTTACTGTATTTAAATTGTACCTTAATAAATCTGACATTTTAAAAAGCTTCACGTGTAGCAAAATGTCCCTTGTGGGCGGGCCTCTTACCTGGGCAAGGCTTGGTGATAAGGAGAAGGAAACAAGCACAAGAACGTGGGGCTGCTAAAGAGAGTAGTGGTGGGGTACTGACGGGCAGAGACCGCGGCGCGCCCCTATAGAGGGCTGACTGCCCTGTGCAATGGATCTGCGACCTGGCAGCTCCGGTCCTCCGGGAGCTCCGAGGGGTTCGGCTTCCGCCTCCCGGGGGACGCCGCTGAGCTCCCTACACTGCCCGAGGGGGTCAGGGAAACAAACGTGGCCGGCTTGCCCCGGGCCTGACTATAACCCAGGCGGCCAGGCACCCTAGGGACCCGCCCGCCCCTGCAGAGGTGACCGGCAGCAAGCGCAAGCCGTGGCGCCTCCCGAAACCACACGAGGCAGCCTCTGTCCGCGCCGCCCGAGAATTCCAACACCTCCCGCACTACCGTAGGAGTTAAACGGGACGTCCCCGGCTGGCGGGACGAGAAGGCGTCGCTCCCGGTGACGCCACTTCCGGCGCGCCGCCTTCCGGTGCGCCATTTCCGACACCGGTCAGGTCGGGGCGGGGCGGCGGCTAGGTGAGGCGTGCGATGAGCCTTCGGACGCCTCGGCCAACCGTTAGCGAGCTGTGGGCGTGCGGGCTGCGGGGCGCGGCGCTCCGGTAAGGCGTGCGTGCGGCGGGCGGGAGCAGAAGCGCCCTCCTCAGGCTCAAGGCGTGGCTGAGGTTACGCTTCCCGCAGAAAGCAAGCGCCGGATTCTTGATGTGGAGCGTTCGCCCGCCCAGGGCATGGTGGTCTCTTTCCAGAAACCGGTTTTGTTTGTTTTTCGTCTAAATTCGCGTCGCTTCTTATTCCTCTTCCGAGCGAGGCCTGCAGAGAGTAGTGTGTGTGCAGGCGCGTAGTGCCGGGCACTGTGCTCAGTGCTTTGCTGGTGCTTTTAAAATTCTTGCAACATTTGGGTGCTGAGGGAACTTGGGGGTTCCGTTGGAGCTGTAAAAAAGCCTTTTGGGAAATTGGATTGGTACTTTGATAACATCGACATACATTTTTCCTTTCCCCTCTTTTAGAATTCTTACTTTTTGCCATCAATACGCATTCTTTTCTCCCTCACGCCCTGCGCTTTTTTATGTGTGGTGCGGGTGTATGAATAGTTAAAGGTAGAGTACGTAAAACTAAAAAAAAGACTGATACAAATTAGAGATGGTTAAATGCCCCCAAAACCCCCACATATTTGTAGTTTGGACTTGAAGTTTTATAGAATTAAATTTAGATTATCGTGTAATTTGGATCGCGACACTTAAAAACTTAGTATTTGACGCATACTCTTATTTTTTCAGTACTTGATTTCTGCCCCAGTATGTCATTACTAAAAAGGGAACTGACTAGCGCCAGTTCCTTCATAATGGTAGTTATTTTAGGTTGACTGCAGGCCACTTAAAACAGCTCATTAATATTCGGGATTAAATATATATATAAAGCACTTGGAACAGTACCTGGCACCTAACCACCGCTAGATAATTATTACCTGCCATTGTTATAATAATGATTATTTGCAAAGTGTCATACTAGAGGAAGGCCAGTCTTTATGTGAATTTTTGTTTCTTTTATTGAAATAATTTTTTTTCTAAAGATGTTTCATTTTTAGAAATCAAATAGCTCAACGATTAAAATAGATTTACCCGTTTTATAAATATAACTGATTTTATAAAGGAAAAGTGCACAAATTACAAATGTTTTTTGATTTAAATGTCATTTTTAACTCTTATTTACTGTCTCTTAAAATGGTGACAAAATAACCGTGATTTCATTACTGAAGTCAGCTTTGACTATTTTGAACAAACACCAGATATTTATTCAGTTTTTTTTTTAATGCAACGAAAGAAGTAATCTGGGAAATGAAATCACTACTTTCACTGCTTGGAGTAGGGCAGAGAGACAGGCAAATCAGGAGGCACTGGTACAGTACTGATAGCCAGAGCCAGTAGCTTATCCAAATTTACAAGAGGTGGGTCGGCCCCGTGGCTTAGCGGTTGAGTGCGCGCGCTCTGCTGCTGGCGGCCCGGGTTCGGATCCCAGGCGCGCACTCTGGGCCATGCTGAGGCCGTGTCCCACATACAGCAACTAGAAGGATGTGCAACCATGACATACAATTATCTACTGGGGCTTTGGGGGAAAAAATAAATAAATTAAAAAAAAAAACAAATTTACAAGAGGAAGCTTTACAGATCCTCTGCATTAAAAGGATGATATCCATCAGGGGGAAAGAGGCAAATGCTGATGTGAGTGTATTCCCCCCCCCCCACCCTTTCCCTGGCGAATGAGAGAATCGTTTGAGTATATGCTCCTCTTGATTTTTCCTGAAGCAGGGACAGGGGACAGGCAATACTATAGCAGAATGGTTGAAAATATGGACTTTGGTGTCAGGTGGACTTGGATTTAAGTTACCACTCTTCCTACCTACTCTCTGTGTGACTTGGGAAAAATTAGGAGGGAGGGGAATGTTAGTGGCAGGATAGACATCAGATCTGGTTCTTGGCAAATGTCGTGACTCTCATTCTACCAGGACAACTAGAGTAGATACATAATGAGAGTGTTTTCATTTTGTCAAAGGAATAAAACATTCTAAGAGCAGCGGAGCCTAAATTGCCAGTTGCTGGTATGACATTGCAACCCAGAACGCTGATATATATAACACACTGTTGTCACTTGCAGACAATAACAGGGTTTCTTTTTGTTTTCGGACTGTAGCTGTGTCAGCGTGTTATGATGCCGTCTCGTACCAACCTGGCTACTGGAATCCCCAGTAGTAAAGTGAAATACTCAAGGCTTTCCAGCACAGACGATGGCTACATTGACCTTCAGGTAAATGCGGAAGGGTGCTGATGAGACTCGCTGGCACTGTTTCTGCTGAGTTAGCAGGAAGAACTTCCAGGTCGAGGTTTTGCTAACTGTCCCTGGGGATTAGAGTAAGCAGCAGGAGGGGAAACAACCTCTGAGACCCTTTCAGCCATAGCCTGCAGAAGGAGGGACCTTGGCAGAGCAGTTTCAAGCCAATATAAATGTCCATTTCTAAGATTTTTTATTTGTAACACCAGAGGCCAGTAGTTGCAAATTTTATTTAGTTTATCTGGAAAATAATCATATTGTGTTTTATTAAGTAGAATTTTTTTAAAGACTGTGTCATTGGTTTGTTTACACTTTAGTCAAAGCCAGTTCATCTTTTAAGGGAGAAACTAACTTCTAAAGCCAGCAGATTGTGGGAATCTTCCTTCTTTCCTGCTGTCATGAGATCCAATTTATTAAAGGTATTTTTTGTGGCAAACAGTGAGTAAAACAGAGAATATTTATCTTGTATCCTACTCTGATCATTGTTTATAAAATATTTAATCATGTAACATCTCCTTTTGCCCACTTCTCCTTAGAATAGAATATTTTAGGTGGAACCAGGGCCAAGGAGGGAGTAGCAGGAACCCATCCTTTTGAAAATAAACAAATCAATTATTTTTTCTAGTTTTTGGACCCGCACTTGAAGGAGAGAGATTTTTTTAAAAGTACGTCTGGGAAGCTTCCAGCCAGTTAGGTCAGATACAACCATGAGCCAAACCTTAGAAAGTTTGTCTCTGAATCTTAATCTTGAATTGAACTTGTTGATAAGGCAGGTTACTTGCTCCATGGGGCAGGCAACTAATGCTTTAGAAAAAGCTGTTTCTAAAACCTTTGACTATGTGCTGACTTGACTTTGAATGCCAGAAATTACTTATTTTCTTTACTTCTCCAGAGCATGATGTTCACTCTTGAATCCCTATAGATTAGTACAGCCTTCCATGTGCCAAGCACTTAATAAACACATGTCTAATCAATGAATGACCATAAAGTATTTTTTGTTTGTATAAGAAAATAGTTTTTTATGGTACAATGAATGATCCGTGGAATGAGGCTAGAACTAGAAAGAATAACGTTTTGCTGGGACTCCTTTGAGCAGTAACTAGAGCTTCATCTCTGCCTGTCCCTTTCCTCTCCCAGAGCTGCACTGGGTGGTGGGACTTACTTCAAGAGACACAAAGCATTTAGATTGGTTCTTGTTCCCCTCCCTGCTGTAAAGTGTCTGAGCCCTGGTATTTTCATAATGCTCTTCCTTGTATTTTTTTTGTTTGTTTCTCTTCCAGTTTAAGAAAAGCCCTCCTAAGATCCCATATAAGGCCATTGCGCTTGCTACAGTGCTGTTTTTGTTTGGCGCCTTTCTTATTATCATAGGCTCCCTCCTGCTGGCGGGCTATATCAGCAAAGGGGTAAGCTGAAGGGTTTGTGGGAATGTGCCATGAGATCTTTAAAATGTGAGCCAGAGCTCTGTTGTTTTATATTTCTATCTAGTACAGCAGATTCCAGCAGAAAGAAAAAGGTTTTCTTTTAGATTTTTTCCTCTGATAACAAAACGTGTTTCTTCTCTTGAGCAAAAGCAGACTTCTCCCACAATTCCTATGAGGTGGATGGTGGCAGATAGGCAAATTTTCCCTCTGAGATGTTGGGCGATTTTCCTACTGTCATAGTTTGAAACAGCAAAGGCTGTAACTGGGATAGAATGCTGTTATTGTAGCTTTGCAGTGCCGCAGACATACTAGTCAGTGTTTGGGGAGAAGCACTGAGGCTTGTATAGGTCTGGGCCACTGACCAATTCAGGACTTTAGACTTATGAATCAGATCCTTCTTAATGTTGGGTTTGGTTGGAGTTCCTGTTGAGCTTCCATATGATGCCTTAGTGGTGTCTGGTGGTTTTCTCTTGGGCTATATACAGATGCTTACACACAGTGTCTAAGTTGTACTGAATTAATATTGACCATAATTCATGTCTGTTCTTCAGCACACACCAGGCAAGGGTATGGTGATCATATTGCTCTGCAGAAGGAACACAGCCAAGAGCTAAAACTGAGAATTATCATTGGAATTGGGAATAGTAGCACTGTCACAATAAAATGGCTGCATATGGCTTTTAAGAAGTGTATCTGATTTGCCTTAGGTCCTTAGCTATTTAAAACTGTTATATGGCCACCAGATGCTTACTTGGTGCAGTCTCAATTTGAACACCTAAGTTGAGGACTGTGCCTTCAGTTAACTTTCGTTGCAGCAGTATTAATCCCAGGGGTATAATAAGGCATCTACTAATGATGTTATACAAATGGAGAGCGGAGGTGAGATCCACATGCAATAAGTATCATTTCACCTTATGTGGTTTGTAAAAGACTACTTGATAAATAAGGATAAAGATGTTAATTAAGAAAATCACCAATAGATTTTGTTTTGTTTTTTGGTTTTTTTTTTCACTTTTTATTACAGACATATCAAACAAAACAGAAGTAGATGGAATAATATAACGATCCCCCATGTGACCACCACCCAGCATCAACAGTTACAGACATTTTGTTTCATCTATCCCCCCAACTTTTTTTTCTGTATATTAAAGCAAATACCAGATTTACATTTTGCTGGTAAATTTTTAAGTATACATCTTCAGTATACATCTCTAACAGTTTTTACGTAAATCTAGGGGTGCTTTCTTAATATCATTTACCTTATTTTTCTCTTGCGTATTATTTCTTGCATACTGTTAGATTTAGGGACTTGCTTAGATTCAGATTTAATTTAGTTTTGTTTTAGAAAGAGTATTTCATAGGAGGTGCTGTATATTTGCTATAGCACGTTGGTTCTCAAACTTCAGTGTCAGTCGGAATCACCTGGCAGACTTGTTAACACAAAGATTCCTTGGCCCCACTACCAGACATTCTAATTCTGTAGATCTGTGGCAGGGCACAAGCATTTTCCTTTCTAACAAGTTCCCAGGTAATGCCACTGGTCCAAGGATCACATTTTGAGAACCATTGCTATAGCATTACTTTAGGAGGCACATAATGGTTATCCTAATTTTTAGTTCATTTCAAGATTGATTACTGGGTTCAAGTGTCTTCAGCCTAATTCATTTATTATAAATTTCACCATTACTCTGCACTAATGGTAATCCAGTTCTGTCATTTTCTGCATTTATCAGCTGAAATTCTTCTATAAAGAACTTTCTCAAATCTGCTGTTTGGTTACCCTGAAATACAATGTGTATAGTGAAGGTAGAAAAAAATGTTTGACTATTTCTCTTTATTGATCAACTTCTGTAAAAATACACCTAGCGACCCCAAAAGGCGACCAAAGAGTTGTTAGTATCATTATAAATTCATCATTTTTAAGTATGTTTGTGTTTCAATCAGTTGCAGTCTTTAACATATAAATTGTCCTATATTTGCTCAGTAGGAGCCCCTTCAAGTTACTCCTGTGTCTTTTAAACCTGACCCCAGTAGCTTTTGATAGCTTTCTGGCACAAGTTATCCCAGCGCATCTATACATTTCTTGCCTTCCCCCACCCCAACTTGTAAACAGCCATTTCTCTAAAGAGCCCTGATTTCTTTATGGGGGTTAGATTTAGAGACCACAAACTGGGCATTAGTGTTGCTCATTGCTATTGGTTTTCATTGTTTCTAGGCCTTTTCAGTGACAGAATCAGGAAATAGATATCTTTTAGAAAACAAGGGGGGCCGGCCCCGTGGCTTAGCGGTTAAGTGCGCGCGCTCTGATGCTGGCGGCCCGGGTTCGGATCCCGGGAGCGCCCCGAGGCACCACTTCTCCGTCCAACGCGAGGCCGAGTCCCACGTACAGCAACTAGAAGGATGTGAACCTATGACGTACAACTATCTACTGGGGCTTTGGGGGGAAAAAACTGAATAAATAAAATCTTTAAAAAAAAAAATAGAAAACAAGGGAAAATAACATTTATGTAATATACATAGATATAATAATATATAGATATTTCCCATGCAAATTTAAGATTAGAGTTTGAGCTTCATTTCTTTGATTTTATATTATGTATGTCTATCCTAATGATATTGATATACTTAATTGCCTTATTCTAAATTATACATATAATAGCTTCAAAATAATAGTAGCAGTCTTAATGCTAAGTATAAGAAGTCTGAATGCAGTATAAATTTTCTTTGCAGTTCTTTTAATCCTTAGGATATATCCCATTAGGGATGTACATTCAAAATCCTGCAAACAACAAAAGAAACAGAAAGGTAGAAAATGTAAAATATGATAACAGAAATAGCACCAAGTATGTCAACTGTGAAGTTGTAGACTTTATTCTTTTTGACATTCACAAAGTCCATCTTTGGCCTGAGGGAGCCCTTTCAAGTTCTCTTCCCTTGGTTTTAAGCTTGTGTTTATTGAGTTAGTGTGTGCCAGCTGGGGCCATTTGCTTTACATGTATTACCTCATTTAATTTTCACTATAGCTGTATGAAGTAAATACTCCTATATGTGAATGAAGCAGCCAAAATGATATTAATTAGTTAACTTGTCAATATACATTGTGTAAATAGCCCTGTAAAAGGAGATTTTTATTTTTATTTTTTTTGTGAGGAAGATCAGCCCTGAGCTAACATCCGTGCTAATCCTCCTCTTTTTGCTGAGGAAGACTGGCCCTGAGCTAACATCTATCGCCAATCCTCCTCCTTTTTTTTTTTTTTCCCCAAAGCCCCAGTAGATAGTTGTATGCCATAGTTGCACATCCTAGTTGCTGTATGTGGGATGCCGCCTCAGCATGGCCGGACAAGTGGTGTGTTGGTGCGTGCCCAGGGTCTGAACCCCGGGCCACCAGTAGCGGAGTGCACACACTTAACCGCTAAGTCCCGGGGCCAGCCCCAAAAGGAGACTTTTAGATTGTGTGTAAATCTTTAGAATGAGGAAAATCTTCCTAAGCTTAAAAACAATGGAAAAATCATTGAGGAAAAGGAGGACAAATTTAACTGTATAAACATTTAAGACTGCACCTAAAAAAACAAGACAAAGTAATTTTATAAAGGTGAATCCATTCATTCAGCACGTTTATTGAGCGTCTACGATATGTTGGGCACCGCTGGGGATACAGGGCTAAACAAAGTCTCTGTCCTCATGGAACTCTCCCAAAAGTTGAAGCCCTACTGATGAAGAGACTAAACACCATTCCTCTCTTTTTGACGTGTGAATTGTACTTGTGGGAATATACAGTAAGGAATTAATCTGAAAGGCCAAGAAAAACACTTAAGTTTATTATGGTATTCTGTACAATGACAAAAAAATGAGACAACCAAATTATCCAAGAGTCTAGGGAAGTGGTTAAGTAAAATTGTGGTACATCCATTACAGTGGAATATTACACACAATTAGTTGACATATAACATTATATTAGTTTCAGATGTTCAGTATAATAATTCAATATATGTATATATTGGGAAATGATCACCCCAGTAAGTCTAGTTAACATCCATCACCACACATAAATTTTTTTTTCTTGTGATGAGAACTTTTAAGATCTACTCTCTCAGCAACTTTCAAATATACGATACAGTATTATTAACTATAGTCACCATGCTGTACATTATGTACCCAGGTCTTATTTATATTATAACTGGAAGTTTGTACCTTTTGACCACCTTCACCCGTTTCGTCCACCCCTCACCCCCCAATGAAGAGCTTTTAATAATAATTTGGCAAGTGCTTGTTCTAATAAGAGGCAAAAACAAGTCAGAGTATGATGTGTTCCCAACTAAAAACTTTAAAGAGGGAGCAGAAGGAAATAAGCTAAAATATCTATGGATGAACATGGATAATTTATTTTCTCTATAATTTTTAGTACTTTGCAGTTTTTTTACAATTGATAATCAGGAGGAAAAGAGATGTAAACCTTTTCCCTTGGTAGTGTACTACCTGAAGAAAATGCTCTGAAAATTAAGATACTGATCTATGAATTGGGACCCATGGCTTTATTTTATTTTAAAATTTGTAACTTGTGTGGTGCTAATGCGTTTGCCTCCTTCTGCCACCAGGAGGCAAACCAGGCCGTTCCCTTCCTGATCATTGGCATCTTGATGTTCCTGCCAGGATTTTACCACCTGCGCATCGCCTTCTATGCATACAAAGGCTACCGGGGTTACTCCTACGATGACATTCCAGACTTTGATGACTAGCACCCACATCAGCCCTGAGGAGAAGAGTCACAGATGGGACTGAGCCCAGCTTCAAGACATTGAGCAGAAACTATGACTAAGGGCTAAGGAATTCTGCAGTTTGCAGATGTTTAACAAAACAATGGCCAGATTTTATGGGTCCACCCTAAAGATGTTAACTGAGGTTACAAATAGCTGATTAGGACATGCTCTACTTTTCATCTCCTGGCCCTGGAAAAAGCTTGTGACAAGTTTTTCCACATGAATGTGTATCATGCAAGAATGGCAGTGGTAATTGTACAGGAAAGCAGGAGGGTACTCTATAGTGGAAAGTGTTGCTGCCACCACCCTTTTTAGAATTGAGCATTTATTTAAATAGTTCTCATCATCAGTTTGCTCTTGTGACAAATGGAAGAATATGGTGTGTTAAATTTCTTATTACTAAGTAATTTATTTTGAAAATATCTAAGTTATCCCCTCTACTCATCTCTAACTTCGTGTTCTAGTGGAAGACCTTGGCAAAGTCAAATATCAGTGTGGGTGCATCTGTAATGTTTTTTACTTGCTTGCTTATTAACCAGCAACCAGGAATTTTTTAAACCTCAGAGCAGTTTTCAAAATGTAAACATTTTCTCTTTTCACCAATCTTTGGCCAGCTCTGATCTGGTTCACCAGTAGGTTGGCCAGCATATAATTAAGGTCATTCTGTCCTTTGTAGATCAAGATGTACTGTATATCATGCCTTTAAGGACTGGACTTTTGGCTGTTTCCTAAGGAAAAATGTAGATAAGTGGCTTTTAGACTTTATAACCCCATTGTTAGCACCTTGTATTATGATGTCATGCTGCTGAAGATCTCAAGACTTGGCCTGGATCCCTAGAGGACTAGACTGCCTTAGTTTGATTCTGTTTCCTAGCTTGCAAAAAGTGGCTTATAGTCAAAAGAAATTAAAATGTCAAAATCTAAATCCTAGACTTAAAATGAGTTTACTTTAAACATATTTCAGAAAATGTTTTAATGACTATATGATATCTTTGATTGCAATACCCAAGACTGCCTTAATTTTTAGATAACTGGCATTGTGGGTCAGACTGCTTTCCAGTCATTCTTTTACTCTGAGGTTATGGACATGGGTGACTGGAAGCCTCCACGTGCCATCAAGAGGGATGGCTTTGGAGATTTGGAGGGCTGTGAGTAGCAAGTTTATTGGGAAGATAGTTCAACTTTGGGTTTGTTAAATTTTAGATATCTGCTTGTCATCCAAGTGGAGATGTTGAGTAGGCAATTACAGTGTGCAGGTTTGGAATTCAGGAAGAGAGTCTAGGCTGGAGATAGAAATTTAGGAGTCAGTGTTGGGACAATATCTCAGAGCCCTGGGGACCTATGGAGTGAGTGCACATGGGAAAAAAACTAGGACTCAAGAAAGGAAGAACGAAAAAGAGGGTGACATGAAGCAGCCTCCCAGGTTAGGGTACATTTGGTAATGGGAGGGTAGGCTGGGGATTCCAGTAGTCTAATTAAAGTTCTTGGGCCTTGACAGTGAAGATGTGGGGAAATAATATAAGGCTTTATCCTGGGCAGTGTTTGCAAAGCAAAGCTCAGACCAGAAGGTTTTGGCCAAATTATTTGGTTGTTTTTATAAGAGTAATGATGTGGCTGGTAAGAGAAAAAAAATCAAAATGGAACAGAAGGGTGTAAAGTCAAAAGTAAGCACTTGGTGGGGAGGAGTAAACATTTGTTCCCCCAGCCCAGTCCAACATTATCTAATTAAGTTGCTTGTATACTCTGCCAGAAATGTTCTAAGCACATAAACATATATATTCTTCTTTTAAAAACTCAGGCTCCCATTCTATAGTTCTAAAATTTCTTTTTTTCCACTTATTCTATTTTGTGTATCTTTCCATATCCATGGAGATTAGCCACATTCTTTTTAATATACATTATAAGTATAGTTTTCCATGTTTGTGCATGTAGTCATAGGGTCCTAAGAGCAGAGACCGTAAAAGTCAGGTTCCTGGAGCAGAAATATCCTCTCAGATGAGGAACAGCACTTGCTGTTCTATTTGAACTTTCAGGCTCATATTCTCATTCCAGTTGGCATTGTTACAGAAGTATTATTTATTAAGCCAAAATCAGTTTCCCTGTAACTATGCATTAACAGTAATTGTATATTCTAGTGTTTTATAGAAAACTTCTAAACCTCCATAATAATGGTGAATGTTTCTTGAACCCTTTGCCAAATGTTGTGCCAAGCACTTTTATTATGTAATCTGTTTCATTTTAATCCTTTGAAAAACCCTGAGTTGGGTAAGATTCTGAGGTAATAGGTTGGATATTCAAGACTCAAATTTAGGCAAAGCCTGAATTCTCTTTACCAAGTATGAAAGCCAAATGTGTTTAGGGGCTGGACAAGTAAAGAAATGGGGGGAGTGTAGAGGCATGGACAGCAGTAGTCGGGACCAAGGTCAGTTGTCAAATGTGTATTTTACCTAAAAATGGCCTTCATCTCCTCCCTCCCCCCTATATATTTTTTTATTATTATTTTTTTGCTGAAGAAGATTCACCCTGAGCTAACATCCGCTGCCAATCTTCCTCTTTTTGTATGTGAGCCACTGCCACAGCATGGCCACTGACAGATGAGTGGTGTAGGTCCGTGCCTGGCAGCCAAACCTGGGCTGCTGAAGCAGAGCACACCCAACTTAACCACTAGGCTACCAGGGCTGGCCCATCCCTCCCCTCTTTATAGTGTTGGCCAAACCATGTGCCCTAGCTTTATGAGGATTTTCTTATTTGCAACAACTGTTATGCCTCTCATTAGTCGTTTCCAAGGCTAAAAATCCTCCCCAGTTGCATCAGCTGTTCCACATATGGTGATTCCAGACCCATTGCCCTTGGATGAGCTTCACCTGGCCATTGTGCCAGAAGCACATTGACTACTTGCTTTCTACTGGGAATTTTTAGATGCTGAGGGTACAACAGGACAAGATAGGGCTTGGTCAGTGAGGAGCAGAGGTTGCAAACTAGTGGCTGCACATGTTGGCCTGCATTTTGTTTTTAAAAGTGGAAAGATTCACATGATCTTGATTTTGGGCTTTTGAAAAGTCAATAGATTTTTCTTTGTTAGTGAGAGGCTACAACCAACTAGAACAAGATAGTGAAGCAGCTTTGGCTGAGCAGAAGTCTCCAGTTCACTGCAGTTCCCAACACTGCTTGACTACTTTTGTACCCAACCTGCTAATTTTCTTCATTAAGGGCAAAGAGTGGGCCGGCCCTGTGGCTTGGTGGTTAAGTGCGCGCGCTGCGATGCTGGCGGCCCGGGTTTGGATCCCGGGTGCGCATCGAGGCACCACTTCTCCGTTCATCCTGAGGCCGAGTCCCACATGCAGCAACTAGAAGGATGTGCAGCTACGACACACAACTATCCACTGGGGCTTTGGGGGGAAAAAATAAAATAAATAAAATCTTTAAAAAAAAAAAAAAAAAAAGGGCAAAGAGTGTGTCTTACGGTCCCACAAAGTCTAGCACAGTGCTTGTGGGCATTTAGGTTTATTGAATGAAGAACCCAAGTCAAGAGTGCATTTCCATCCCAGGATACCATGTTCCTTTGGGTTATGAACAGGTGGGCTGGTACCATTTGATTCAGACTTTCCTAAGTGACCATCTGTCAGCTGCCTGGCAGGCCAGCTACTTTTCAAACAGATTGGGTGCTACCTGGCAAGTCAAGTCTCTGCCTGGCACCCTCTGCTCAGGCCAGTGAGTCCAGTTCACAATCATCTGCAAGTCCTTTCCTCCAGGGTCATTCATCCCTGCCAGCTGGCACAGAAGAGCTTCCTATTACTGGTGCCATGAGGGAAGCTGGTAGAGGGACAATAACAGGCTTGACTTTTCTGTTGACCTTCCAAGGGTCTTAAACCAAATCAACACACCTTAGTTGCCTTGCTCTGTCATCTAAATTCCTATCCTGGGATGTCTCTCCTAGATTCAGTCACAGAGGCTTCTGGCGTCAGAGCTGTCAAGTTCAGTCATGGTTTAGTGCCAGGGTGGGAAGGGAACAGATTGAATCTTATTAGCTTATTACAAGGTATTGCAGTTTATCTCTGGAGCTTCAGTTTCCTTATCTTGTAAAGTGGAGGTAAACCAGTTCCTATCCCGTAAGGCAGTTGTGAGGATTAAATAAAACAATATGGGAGGGTGCTTTGCACAGAGCCTGGCACATAGCAGGCATTCAGTAAATAGAAGCTGCTGTTTGAGAAAGTGAAGAAGGTCCTTCCTTTGGCTTTAGGGAGTAGTGCCTGGGATGAAGCTGAGGAAGAGGAGAGAGAGACCATTTGTTGTCCCTGGGGCCGATCTGAAGAACCTGCTGTTCCATGGTGGAACTACCCCAGAGCCCGGGGCTGGAACCAGCACAGCAGGCAGCCCCAGCCAAGGCAGAGCTCCCTTCCCTGACAGAACTGCCAATGGGAGGGTGTGAGGAGGTCTCCTGGCCCTTCTTTAGCATGCAGCTGGGCCTGGGAGGCTGTGTGCTCCAGAGTTCTGGAACAAGAGAGGAAGGGGGAGGACTAAAGCACCCCATTGTAGCCGAGACATGGGCCACAGAGGCCCCTGCCCCGGAAGGCCCTGCAGGGAAGGCGGTGAAGACAAGGTGATGCAGCTGGAGCACCATCAGACCGCCTCTCCCTGGAGGTGGTTCTTTCTGCTCCCTTCTTTCCATGGGCTCTATTTTCACCTCTTTCTGCACTTCCTCTCCTCAGTCTTGCCCCTTGCTATTCCAAGTGTGGTCTGTGGACCAGGAGCATCAGCATCACCTGGGAACTTGTTAGAAATGCAGAATCTTGAGCTTGCCCCAGCCCTGCTGAATCAGAACCTACATTTAAACAAGACCTCTAAGGGGTCCATTATGTATCAGGTCTGAGAAGCACTGGTCTGGGCTGCCCTGTTCCTCCTAGTCCATTTCCTCACTTTGGGATTGGACCTCTGGTAGTGCCCATGGGTGGGGGTGGGGGGCACCCAAGAAGGTATAACCCCTCTTCCTCAATCCACCATTATTCTCAAGCTAAAATGGTAACTTCCAGGGTCTTGAAGAAACTTCATAGAAATAGCACAGAAACAACACAAGAAGGCTTTGTGAAGATCCTTTTTGTGAGGAGTGAGAAATCAAAACAGAAGTCTCACAGCTGGGGAAGGTCTGTGGTAGGGGTGGACACACGCTTTGGTGCTCTGAAGGCCAGGGGAAGGGAACAATGTGTGATTTATGACCCAGTGAGAGGCAGGGTACGTTTTCTCTCAGTTTCTGTGGGAGGCACGCCTGGTGGCTCGGGAGTTTATCCTGAACACGAGGTGCTGGCTTTCCTCCCTGTCTCTCTCCTTCCTCAGCTTCTTCCCAGGCACTACTCCCTCTGTCTCTGATGCCTCCATTCTTTCATTCCTCTCACTAACTTGAGAAAAGCCAACTAGAAAATGCTCTAATCTGAGGGATCAAGTCTCTTGGCCAAGATGCTAATCCTTCAAGAAGGTTTTCTCTGGGATTAATATCCACAGAATTTGCTCTGAGACCACCACCCACAGGACCAGTATCCCCCTACAACTGAAAAGATGGCAGCAGCAGAATCACCAGCACAGCCCAGGAGGGTTTGTGACCTGGTAGAAGGTGACTTGCATCGGGCAAGAGGAGCGACCATGAGGAGTTGGGGTAAATCAAATCTCTCTGGACATAGCTACAAGCTCCTGTCCCTGTAGCTGTGATTTGAACATTTTAAGACTTAAGAGCTACTGACAGGGGACTTGCTGAGAGTTCTGTTTCCCCTTCTTGGGGATGTCAGAAAATGCCAAGTATTTTCCCCCATTTAATAGGGAGTGAGACCAAAAGAGCTGTGGAATGCTGCTGGCCCAGGATCAATCCTTCTCATTCAGAACATTGACTCAAGATGATCTTCTACTGTGTTGCTCTCCCAGGTGTTTGCTTCCTGC